CGCCATATCAATGCTTGTGAGGTTAGAGCAGTATGACAGTTTCATTCATTATGCCTCGAGGCGCTATGAATTGGAACAGATTCATCAGCACCTTACATCACGCTTATGTTGAAACCAGGTGGCTTGGTATCATTTGGGGTGGTCAACTTGGGATTCGATCCCTTAACAAAATGAAATGAAAAGCATCCAGGAAGTCTCAGTAGTCAAAGGGAAATAGTATATTTAAAAGCATAGCTGTCCTGGCCTGGATGGGTCAGTTATTCCATCGGGATAAACTTTTATCGCCTACTCCAACACCGGAGGCAAAGCCACTAGGTGGGGGACAATACTAACAGCATTCACCTGTAATTGCAAATAGATTCTCTGGAGTGCCATCTTCCTGTATATGAAATGAGCCCTCTGAGAAGCAGGAGGAAGAATCTCATTAGCAAGAGCCAGGAGTAAAGGACGCCTTCTGATCCAGGAGGCAGCTATCCCATCCAAGGAGCAGCAGCAGAAACTGCATGGACTTCCCAACACACAGAAGCAAGTACAGCTGAATGCCTTGGTGCAGGAGGCGGGCTTACAGAGGGGGTGCCTCTGGCCACTGAATTGGGGAAGTTGAACTTGCTGACCCACAGAGCTTGAGCTCAACATCTTCTGGTCGAGGCTTATAGCAGAGTGGTATGCCCTTTGGGCACTTATTGTCAGATTTGACAGAGCTTTGAAACACATCCTGATACACAACTCAACCTGAGCATTTCTCACTGGCATTTTACATCATGAATTCTGTCTGTTGCAGTGGATACTAGAACCTAGAGAGGTGAAATAGAGAACACTAAGACATGACACTGGTTTTGTGGGGCCCTTGATTAATGGTGGCAAGTTCACTGATGGTTTGTGTGGTTGAAATGTTATGGGGACTCTGTACTGCTGCTGCAGATGTGTCACCGCTAAGCAAGTAGCATCATGGCTTTAGCCAGTATTCCTCAGGGAGAACCCTGCTACATTTTTACTAATTCTAGGACTCTTGTCAGTGTTCTAGTTGCCTACCACTAAGACAACGACCTCCTGGCTGGCAGAACAGACACCCACCATCTTTGATCATTAAACATATATTCCAATTTAAAAATAATAATTATCACAGTGGTGTGGTTTCTCAGTAGTTTTAATTCACATCTCCTCAGTGACCAATCACATTCAGATTGTTCATTGCTGGTGTATAGAAACTCAGCTGTGTGTGTGTGTGTGTGTATGTGTGTTGATTTTTGTGGCTTAAAACTTGGTTGGTTTTGTTTATGCTGGTGGTTTTATAATGTCCGCAGGATATTCTATGTAATGAATCATGTCTGCAGTTAGCAACCAAAAAAATTCAAAAACCCAAAAAACAAACTCACTGACATTGAGGTGATGCCAATTCACAGTGACTCTATAGGGCAGGGCAGAAATTCCCATGAGGTTCCGAAACTGTAACTCTTTACAGAGGTAGAATACACCATCTTTCTCCAGAGGAGTAGCTGGTGGTTTCGAACTGCTTACCTTGCAGGTCGCAGCCCAAGCTAAATCAAAAAGCATTGCTGCAAAATTATAGAAAGCTTTTTAAAATTAAAATAGCAAAATATATTAAGAGAACGTATCTGCAGCCATCCTTTGATTACAGATGTCTAAATATGTTTTTGGAATAAATGCATGCATGTATGATAGGACCTTAGTAACAATACTTTTTAAAATTTACTTTCATTGGAATAAGGAGTCCTGGTGGTGCTGTCAGGTAAGCTTTGGATTGCTAACGGCTATCTGCTGCTGTAAACATTTACCGCCCAGGAAACCCTGAATCAGAATCTAAAGTTCAGAAGCCTGCCACGAGAACTTTCATTCACACCAAATCAAATCAGGTAAGATCTGTGGGGCAAGAGAGGCATGCTGGTTTTGGCCAAAAACTGGTGCACTGAGACGGCTGCGTGAGCAGGTACATTGTTGTGGTGGCAAAACCACACCCCATCTGCCATAAATCAGGCTTTTGTAGCACAGTTACGCAATCTTTTCAGAACCTCTAAGTAGTAAGCTTGATTAAGTCTGACCTGGTGAAACTAACTCCAAATGCACCAACTAATCCCCCTCGCATCAAAAAACCTAATGAGCATCATCTTGATCTGATTTTACTTGAGCTTTTGGGGGGGCGAGGTGATGACGGCATCTTCCACTGACTTGACTGATGTTTGGTATCAGGGTCCTAAGAACAGCACCAGGTCAGCTCGCCAGTAATGACTTTGGAAAAAATTCTGGGTCACTTAAGGGCTGTTCTGTCAAAGCACAACATGTTTCCACTCAACACTCTTTTTCCTGGTCAGGCAGAACCCAAGACACAAATTTCACAGTGACCCTTTTCGTTCCCAAATCTTCCATTAAAATTTTCAAGCTACAAGATAGTCCAGATAACTTCCCTATCTCTTCAACGGTCTGCTATCAGCAGTCTTTGAGCACAAGTGCAGATTTTGTCGACATCTTTGTCCATGTGGGAAGTTGACAAGACGCCCAGAATGAGGTTAGTCATCAATCAATATTTCACCTTTTTTGAAATGAGAGAACCACTTGGACACCCGAGTTTTTCCCATAGCTCTGTCCTTCAAGCTGTGTTCAACATCACAAGTTTCTCCAACATTTTTCCTGAGCGGGAAACAAAATTTTACAGCCATATGCTGTTCTCTCAAATTGGCCATCACAAAAGACGAGGTTAGAGCAAAACTGCTTTTGCGAAAAAATTCACTGTGAACAAAGCAAACCTTCCCAGGTGACACCACTGGGGGCACTAACTCCCAGGTGACACCACTGGGGGCACTAACTCCCAGGTGACACCACTGGGTGCACTAACAGAGCGAGTTGCTGGATGCTTGCCTTGCAGGGGCTGCATTACTACGAAAGCTCCACCCAGCAGAGCTTTTTACAGGTTTAGGGGGATACCCCCTCATACAGTCTACCCTTTCAGAATATGCTGGGTTAAGTTAAAAAGTACTGCTACAGAATCAGAGAAACAGTAACAGCATGTGACATTATTTTTCTACATATACTCTACTTGGTCTACACATTTCTGAAGGTGGCATTTCCCCAATGAGCGCTGTACTTTCCAACTTAGACCATGTCAACGTGGCAGCTTTTATATTCGCAAGGGGCTCCCGCTGTACACCTGTAAGTATTCTTGAGTTTGGGGAAGCAAAAAGCCTGCAGGGGCAAGATTAGGGCTGGAGGGGTGATGGAGTGAGGTGTCCTGTGAGGGGAATGTTGTTTGCTCCTTAAGCAAACTGGGCAGGACCACCACCTCCCCCAGTTCAAGGCCCACGGGAGAATGCGGACGACGGCTCACCCACAGAAGCTGACAAAGGCTGGCCTCTCCTTCCTGAGATAAACGGACACTTGCCTCCTGTTCCCTGACTAAAGCTGCACAAGGCAGCAGTCTGCAAACTGATCAGTTACCTCATGTTCCCACCTTCTCCTCCCCTCCTGTCTGGGAACTTAGCTGACCTGTTAAAATGCTTCTTGGTAAACCTTCAAAGAATTGACAACCGTCCTATTGTGTACTCCTTCAGAGTTGCAAGCTACATGCAGGCACGATATTTCAGCCTGCCTCTAATAAAGGTCGGGGACCCCGAGCTCCAACTTTGGCTATCCTTTTTTATCTCATATCTATGAGTTTTCTGATTGCAGATCAGGCCCTCTTGAGATAGGGCTGGACCTGATGTTAGTTCTCAGTGTTCCGATGACATTCTCATGGGCCAGCCTTTGCAACCCTCAAAGAATGAGCAGGTGTGTCGTCATGATGGAAAATAATTCCTCAGCACAACTCCCGTGGCTTTTTGGGTACCAATGAAGATGTTCATTAAAAAAAACTTCCTAATAAGCTCTCATGATTGTCCTATGTCCTTCCCTTGCTGTCTTCCTCTGTCCTGAATTGGCCCAGCAGATCCTCTCAGAAGCCATTTTCATTGTACTTCCTTTTTTGGAGACATCCAAACAAAACTAAGACTTTTTTTTATTACAAAGAGGACTTGGTAATAAGTGCGGCCATTCACTGATCAGAGAGACATGTTTAAACATGTTGTGTTTGGAATAAACCCATGTATGTATAAACTGGAAACTTGAGGTAATACTTTTTGACCTCATACAGCTCTCAAAACTATATAGTGTCTTTAACGTGTAAGTTGATGGAAAGTCTAGTTATTGGGTGCCACGAACCTATTCTGACTCACTGTCCTCCCATGTAACGGAGAAGAAATTTTCTTTGTTGTAGTCTCTGCAGAAGCAACTCACCAAGGTTCAAAATGTCAATCAATTGGTTAGAAGTCAAGCGCTTAACTGTTGCACTGCCAGGGTTCATTTAACAAATTTTTAATGTTGTCCAGCTATAACGATCAGTTATTTCTTTAATTGATCTTAAAATATAGATACTTTATTCATTATTGTAAGTACTATTTATTTGTTTTCTATGATTACACAAAACTAAAGATCAAAATAAATCTTTCTTGATAGATTCTAACTTTATTACAGTGAACTTGAATGAAGAAAAGTGAAAACCGTAAAAGGCCTGACACACTTAAATGCCAATTAATCACACTGGCTTCCCAAACCAGAGTGAATACACTGCCGCCACCACCGAGTCCGTTCGGACTCACAGCAACACTATAGGACTCCTGAGTCTGCAAGTCTCCACAGCGGCGGCCAGCCTCATCTCTCGGGCTGATGCTTTTGAACGGCAGAGCTTAGAGCCCACAGGCCACCAGGGTGCCTTCATCGGCTTCCTCGCGCAACACAAGACACTCATGACCATTGAGCTGATTCCAACTCCTCATGGACAGGATGCCAGACTATATAGAGGACAGGGCAGCACTGAGAGTACTCAGGCTTTCTCCCGAGTGGCTGGTGGTTTCGAACTGCCGACTTTGTGGTTAGCAGCCCAACGTGTAACCACTATGCCACCAAAGCTCCTTTTACTGGCTTCTTAAGCACATATGAAATTAGGCTACTTCAAGAGTTCCAAAGTATGTGTTTAATTAATTAAAATTTCCTTTTATGGTTATCACTAACTTACATGGATACAACCAAGCAAGTATGATTTCATAGCAACCAGCAGACTTTAATATTCAAGGAAAATTAAGTCCATCATACACATTAAAAATACAGGAAATTTCATGCAGCCATGAAGCTTCCAATTCAGCTTGTGTGGTGACTTCTAGAATGAGAAAACATATAAACACAGCACACATTTTACAGTTCCCAAACGTCGTCTCTTACACTGCGATTCAGAGCATCTGTTCATGTTATAGTCCACCATGCTCACTTGGTTAACATAGCCTAACCCAATTATTTCAGTTACGGTAATTTAAAAACAAAAAACCACACAATCATTTACCTTTGTCACCTTAGGAAAATGTGACACGGCAAAAATTTGGAGGGAAATTTTTTCGCTTAATTTAAGGCTTACACTTAAATAGAATGGAACACAAGAAATGCAAATTTATTAACACTTTTTGACTGATCAATAACACATTCAAGTTTTGAATATATTAACTGCAACAAAAGTTCTAAGGAAAAAATAAGATGCAAACTTGTGTAGAACATAGTTAACATTCATGATACAAAGGAAAAGCAAAAAGCAAATGAAATACCTGATTCCAGAATTAACTAAAATATTAGCTCCAAGTGAGAAACATAACTTGCTATTATTAAAGAATAAATCTTGATTGCAAGAACAATTGGTATTGACCCTTTCGGTTGTCTCTGTTAAAAACAAGGACCTTTTGTTTTGATACATGTTATAAAAAAGTAAATACTAGTCAGTGAATAAAACATTTTTAAAATATTCAAGAACAGCATGCCTTCTTTTCAATGGCGCACTCTAATACTCAGTTGGACTCCTTTAAGTGTCTTTCCAAAAACAAACAAAAATTGTTTTTCTTTTCCCTGTACTACAGTTAATTTCAAGGTCATTCGTGTAGGTAATAATTCCTGCCAAACACTGGCAGAATAGAAAACCTGACTACGGGCTTCCAGAACTCGACAAGTGAAATGAGCTCAGGAGAACTGCTTACCGCACAGCTCAAGAAAAGAGCACACGGCCTCCTCGCCTGTGTGCAGACGGTCCTGCTACCAAGACATCAGAGCACATCATGACTCCTTCAACCTGGCCACAAAGTTCTAACACTCTACACCTGCCTCTGATTCTAAAATGCCATTTATCCTGCCAGCACCATTGAAACTAAGTCCGTCTGCATTAATCCAACTCCCCACAGAGGTGTCAGTTAACTCAAGCACAATCATCAGTGAAAATATCCAACAAGAGTACTTCCTTTTCTCCAAGAAAAAAATTAAAAACATTAAATTAGTCATCTAGGCTTTCCCAACTATTGGGAAAAGAGTAATAAACATACAAAAATACAAAGGAAAACTCTCTCCAATAAAGATCTTCTAGAGGTAGAAATTTACAGCAGCAGAAATTTAAAGCAAGCTCCAGCTATCAGGGAATAAAACTGGTGTTAATCTGAATTTACATTATTGGCTGCTGCTTATGGAATATTAAAAGACACAGACCAAGGGCAGTAATTTATCCCTGATTTTCACTTTTTAAAATTTCCCACATTAATACCACTGTTACTAGTATGTTGTTTTATGGAGAAAAAAAAAAGTGCTTGCTTTTGTAATTCATATAATCTAAAGAAAAGGCATTATTGTAAACATCACACTGACAAACTGCATCCATTTATCGTTTTGAGTCACATATCGAGTGGGCAACATTTTATTCTTCTTTTCCCAGTTGACTAACAATACCTTTAACAAGGACAAACTAGTGCCTCACTCATGCTGTTGAGATCTCAAATATTTCAGAGTGATTCAATGATAAGAATGTTTTACCAAAAATGCTTAACTGAGTGTGGTTGAAGCCTTAATTTTTTAGCTTACTGGCTAGTGAACATATTAAATTTAGCATATAAAAGAATGAAATACTTGATGCTTCCCTAAGTTCAACTGAGCTAGAAATCAGTAATAATAGTTCGAATAAGACACATAATCTGTCTAGATTGCTTAGGTCCGTAGTGAACTGAAGTCCCATATCCAGATGCTGAATGTGACGGAAGATCCTTAGGTACTTCTAAAACATAACATGTTCGATGTGTATAAAGCAACAAGAGAGACTATTATGGGCTGCAATACTATTCGTTATCAATATGGCAGATTTGCAATAGGACAGCCTCATGAAGACACTGCAGATATGGTTTTTTCCTACTGATACAATTCTGCGCTTCACAGAAACAACGTACTTCAAGACATTGCCTCCATTTTCACTTGTGCAGTACAAATATGCATGGCATAGTATCCTTCTGAAAAAGCAATAGACACATATTAAGAAAATAGATGCTATTCCTAAATTGTTTTAGAAATAAGAAGGCACCACTGATTTGAGGTCTTGTCATGTCATTACTGATAGGTGATTTTAATTGTTTATGTCGGCATTTGTTCTCGTTAAACCTTGTCCTAGAGACGCCGTCTGAGACAACTGCCGGGGCTTACGCACCACGAACAGGACGCACTCGTAGTAGTGCTTCATCATGGACAGCTCGTTCCCAGTGTAGGTGGACAACACAGACTCCGCTTCCACCTGCAGGCAAACAACAATGAGGGTGATGAGGATAATGCCACTCAACAACACTGCACACTTAATGTGACCGCCACTATTCCGTGTATTAATTCACTAATAATAACCACTCAACAATACTACACACTTAATGTGACCACCACTATCCCGTGTATTAATTCACTAATAATAACCACTCAACAATACTACACACTTAATGTGACCACCACTAT